GTGTGTGTGTGTGTGTGTGTGTGTGTATGTGTGTCTGTGTGTGTGTGTGTTTGTGTGTGTGTGTGTGTGTGTGTGTGTGTGTGTGTGTGTGTGTGTGTGTGTGTGTGTGTGTGTGTGTGTGTGTGTGTGTGTGTGTGTGTGTGTGTTTCCCTATAAACCAGCTGTGGGCAGCAGGTACTCTGAGAGTCACGGACATTAATTCATAGATCAGAGCAGACTGGTTCACAGACTCTCCTGTTTTGCCAATCCGGTGCTTAAACCAATATCTCTAACCCCTGGCCGGAATGTCCATAAAATTAAGTCTGAGTTCGAAATATGTCTCAAATAATGTATGCACTGTCATTTCCCCACGTAAACATAACAGTCTGCAATGAAATGGTTGTCTCCTGAGTGCTCCACTTCCTCCTTGGCGCACCGGTAACTTTCTCAACAAAAATAAAATAAAAAAAATTCCGACAAAACAACGAAACGTCGACTCATCGTGTCGGGCAGATTCCTGAATCTGATGAGTCGACGTTTCATCAGGCGAGGTGACGTCAGTGACCTCACAGCGAGCGCAGCACGGAGGCCTGTGATTGGCTGACGCAGCACTGACAGGTTTCTGCACAGAGCAGCAGACTGGGGCATTAACAGTCCATGTCAGAATATTTTAAGAGAAAAGTCGGAATATTTTAAGAAGAACATTTTAAATATTTAATGTTTTTTTATATTTATATGAATAATAATAGTATTGAAATGTTGTTCTAAGATGTTATGAAGCGGAGCAGTTTATGATCTAACACCAGAGAGCTGTCAGAGCAGTGCATCATGGGAAACTCTCCGTCAGCATCTTCATCACAGTCTTCCTCCCCCCACCTGTCCTAATGAAGACGAGTGGCTTCCTGTTCTCTCTGTCCTCTTCTGATGCTTTCTTTGGAAAGAATGCCCTTTACAATTTCTTTATTTTTTAAATGTAAGATGGTTTGTAACTGTTGACTTTTTATGGAAATTAAAAATAAAATATAAAAAATGTTAAGGGGACAAACCACAACTAAATTATTATTAAAAAAAACAAAATTCCTTTAATAATGTTTAAGGATTTTTGAATTCCCTCTTCCCCCTTCATTCTTGTATTTTCCGATGTTTATAGTGTTTTAATGATTGTTCTGAATGTAAAGGTCCTAACACCAAACTGACACCAAAGAACACGTCCCGACGGAAAGTCTCCTCACGTCTCCTCACGTCTCTGCGTCTTGGCCATGTGTCGCACTGGAACACACCGCAAAGACTTCAGCCGACGGCCAAGAAGCACGTACGAACTGCGCATGAGTGGCAATAACTCTCCTTACCAGCAGGCGGCGGTAGTGTGTATTCATCATTTAAAAGAGGAAACAACCTGAAGACAGACTGCGTGATAACCAGAGAAGAAGAACAGACTGCGTGATATAAACAAACAACAAGATAGCGTGTTCCATGTTCCCTCTACAGCGAGAAGCTCACGGGGCTTTCCCCAACCTGAGTCCAGAGCTGGAGTTCAATCAAATCTCAGATTTGCCTTCTTAATAGTTTGTTTGGGTCCCTCACTTCCGTTTCGCTTCTCATGCACTGATTCGCTAGCTGAACAGCCAATGAGAGTGATTTCTTTAGCCAACAGCCTCCAGATTCAACATATCGAATCGGCGGCAGAAGGTGTCGGCACGGCCGATAAGACACGACGGGGCGGGACACACCAATCTGAGTAGGGCGATACGACGCTCATCGACGGCCGAAATCGGCTTGGTGTGTCAGGAGCTTTACAGACTCTAACAGACTCTAGCAGAGTAATGCATCTTTACGGTGTTTCAATCACGTGTGCTGAATGTAAAATACATTTAAATTATTCATTTATTTTCATTTAAAAAGTCTTCCTCTGTGTTTTTTATGAAATGTCGTTCCTACCTGTTGTTGAGTTGGTCCTGCTGCTTCTTGATGTCCGTCTCGCTCGGGTGTCCGTTGTGCTTCAGCTGCCGGGCGATCTGGTTCACCACGGCGACCCGGGACGCTTGGTTGTTCATCTCCGGCTCCAGGCTCTCGAAGCGGTGCTGGATCACCTCCAGGTCCTCCAGCTTCTCGGGGATCTCCATGCTGTTCAGCCACTGCTCCTTCTCGTCGATCCAGACCTGGCAGGCGTGAGCCTCGTTGAACATCTTGTAGAGCGCCAGCGCGTCCTGCAGCGCCTGCTTCCTCAGCTTCGTCAGCTCCGACACCTCCTTGTATCGCTCCTCGATGCCGGACAGGCGCCCGCGGACCTCCTCAGACTGCGCCTCCTCCTCCGGCAGCGCGGCGGCCTGCTCCTGCAGCGAGTCGATGACGGACCGGTAGCTGGAGACCTCCGCCGCCGCGTCCTTGTGCTTCCGGACCAGCGCCTGCGTGGAGAACTCGTCGTGGCCGGTCTCTCCGCTGGACACGATGCGCAGGGCGTCCAGCGTCCAGGCGTCCACGTCGTCTGCGTCCGTCTGGAACTGATGAAGCGCCAGAGCCTCCTCCAGCTTCCTCTTCCTCGCCGCTGCCAGGCGCTCCAGAGCCGCCCACTGGTCCTGCAGGTCGCACACACGCTCCTGGATCTTTGTGGCGGCAAAGTGTCCGGCCTGCACCTGTGGTAGTGTGACGAAATACAATGTTATACAATGTTGTAGTAAAGGAATCAGAAGGAGATTACTATTCATCATGCTGGCTCAGGTCAGGGTTCAGGACCCAGGTCCGTCTCTTCCCACGCACCATGTCCTGGCCCTCGGCGATGGTGTTCTTCAGGAGTCCGTTGCGGCCGCTCATCTCGTGCTCCAGCGCTCGCTGCTGACTCAGCAGTCTTAGAGAACCCGTCAGGTCTTTGGCGTTCTCCAACGAGGACAAGATCTGCTCCTTCTCCCGGATCCAGCCCTCCTCTTCCGCCATGTCCCAGAAGAACTTCCAGAGGCGGCGGGACTCCTCCAGCCGGGCCCGGCGCTCCGCAGCCAGCTGGGTCAGCTCCTGGTAGCAGAACTCCAGGTGAGAGACCCGGTCCTCGATCACCTGAGGGTCGCACGGCTTGTAGCCTGACAGGAAGTAAACAGAGACGTATAAATATATAACAGATATTATTATTATTATAGGCATTAGTTAGTGAAAGAAACCCTGCATGGTGTTCTTCTCTAGTCTGAAGGAAAGGACAGACACTGCTCCGTGTTGAAGAGTAAAACCTGTAGAGTTTCAGGTCTGCTCACCGGCGTCGCTGACGGAGAACCGGGTGGCGTTGGAGCTGACGGCCTTCACGCGGTCAGCTTGGATGGAGATGTCGGCCTCCACCAGGGCGTGTTTCTGCAGCAGGTCCTCCACGCCCAGCAGGTGCTTCCCGTAGTCCTGAGACAGCAGCAGCATCTGGACACAGGAAGAGAGGGTGAGGCTACTTCCTGTCTCTACAATTCGAGGGAGTGCGGTCGTCTTTCAACTAGAAGGTTGCTGGGATCATTAGAAGTTCGAGGGGACAGAGGATGCAACATATGACTGTATCAGGTCAGAACATGACAGCTCCGTGTGCTGTTTGAAGTGTATATAACCTGCCAGATATTCTTAGTCTACAGACATTAGACTATTGACTCTAAGGTCATCAGTCTCTTATCCTGCTGTACAGCAATATCATATTTAACTTCAACCATCTCTGTGTCTGTGTCATTAATTCCTCTTTGTCTTATTCTTTAATGTTGTGGATGTTACATCGGATCCACGAAGCACGGCTCCATCCAAACCAGTTCTCTGAAGATGTTGTTGGCACGTTGACTGACCTTCATCTCGTCCGTCCAGTTATTTGAGGGGCACCAAGCGCCTCGGACTCTCCTTTGTGTCCGCAATCAAGGGCTAACCACTGTAACCCGGGACTGTACCCACATAACACCTGCACTGCTCTCAAGTCTTTAGGCTGCACTCACATCTGCACACTTATATATATATACAGATATATATATACACAGATATATATATATACATATATTTAACATTTCAGAATGTTGAAGTTGTTGAGCGGGGGGGCGGGGGGTGCTAGAGGAGCATGCTCATGAACTGTGGACTCGCCGGAGCATCGCAGCTGGGCTACTCTTCACGCTAGAAGGATCACTTCTTCTTCAGGACAGGGAAGGCTACGCAGTGCGCAGGCTACTGTCCCGCAGCTGCTGCCTCTCTGTTGGACTCTGGAACTGCACATTACTCACGAGAGGTTTTTTTTTATTTAAAGTGCTTTACGTGAAACATTCGGGGCTTTTCAGAAAACATCCGGGGCTTGAGCCCAAGTAGCCACCCCCTAGCGCCGCCACTGGTTAGTACGAATGCTCCACTTTTTACTGTGATATCTTGTTTCAATTGTTACTTTATCATTTCATTTTTTGCTGTATTATTATTTGAATTTGTATTGATGTATTTGACCTTTACCTTGTGTGAATCCTGTTTTTAACTCTGAGCTGCTCTGAACGCCTGAATCTCCCCTCGGGGATAAATAAAGTTCCATCTGATCTCACATATTAAGTATTAATGTACCTTCTCAAAGATATTGAAGTGACTGTTATTGTGTATTCATTGATTGTTGTGTTTGTATTTATGTCTTAATGTGTGCATGTGTATAAATGTGTGTGTTGATTGTGTATATATAGATATACATATTTGCATACATATTTTTATATATCTTTGTATTTCTGTATTCGGGATTGTGGGAAACGGTATTTGGATCTCTCTGTACACACAAACTGAAAGATTGACAATGAAGTTGACTTTGACTTTTGACTGGACGGTGCAGTTGCCTGACCTTCATCTCGTCCATCCAGTCCATGATGTGCAGCATCTCCTGGAAGACCCTCTGCAGCCCCAGGTTGGTCTCCAGCCGCAGCCGGCGGGCCTTCAGCAGCTCCAGCAGATACTCCCACAGCCGCACCACGTTCTCCTTCCTGGCCGCCACGCGCTTGATGTCGTGGTAAGACTCCGCCTCCAGCTCCCGGGCCACCGATAGGACGGCCTGGACGCGCTCCTCGTACGCCGTGATGTCCGTCTCGATGGCCTCGTGCTTCTTGGTGGCCGCGTCCACCGCCTGCAGGTCGAAGCCAAAGTTATCCTGCGGAGACATTTCATCACGTTAGGAGGAACATACATCCTGGAAAGGATTACTGGAGATGTTCATTGAGTTTAAGATAAGATATACTCTATGGATCCCAATTGAGGAGTTAGTCCCAGCAGCATGTAGATGTGACATGAATCAGAAGAACAATTACATTTTATACAATAAAGATGTGCAAATCAGCCGGAGAAGATAATATGCACTGATGATGAATAATAAGGAAGGATATCTATCTATGGGGTATTTACTGTATATTGAATACACAAATAAACAGGATTGAATGCATCCAGTTTATCAAAACAAAACATTTCCCCACATCCGGAGGAGAATAATATTCCTGTCTCACCTGCGACACCAGCCTCTGGTTCTCGCTCAGCCACGTCTCTCTCATGGCCGCCTTCCTGTCGAAGCGCCTGGCGAGCTGCTCCAGCTTCTCCTGACGAATCAGCTCCATCCTCAGAGCCAGCTCCCGCTCATGCTCCGCCTTCTCCAGACGCTCCCACGCCTGACGGGGGACAGCGTCATTACAGAGGCTGCATGAAGACCTCCAGAGGGCCGACAGCCCCCCTCAACATCACTATCTAACACAGGGGGGTCTGACTTACTGACCCCATCCAGACTGAGAGGACTTGCTCCATAACCTCATCTCTGTTTTAAAGCTCTCCTATCATGCTAAAGTCACTTTCTGATGTCATCACTGTGTGTCCCCCGTGTGTCCCCCGTGTCCCCCCCGTGTGTCAGGAGACTCTCATAGTGATGTCTTCTCTACATCACCATGTGTCCCCGGAGCAGGACACTTCAGAGACATGTCCTTAGTAACAGCTGGAAGAGAGGGGGGGGGCTACAAGGATCTGTTTGGGGTTTGGAGCAGGACACTTCAGAGACATGTCCTTAGTAACAGCTGGAAGAGAGAGGGGGGGGCTACAAGGATCTGTTTGGGGTTTGGAGCAGGACACTTCAGAGACATGTCCTTAGTAA